ATCATTTACCATAATATCAGGTTCTCTGTTTCTCCAGTTAATCATCCAAGAGGCTTTTTTGCTTGTTCATCCTCTGGATTTCATACCTCTCCCAAGTAATGTTCTATTTATACTAGTGAGAGATGAATATGGGAAGATCAGGTGGAAAGACTATGTTTGCACAGAAACTTACTTCCAGGCTAGAAATGCAACAGAAACTTTAGTGCAAGTTTACTGTATATTTGAGTGTATTGTATATTTATTCTCCAAAGTAAACTTAGCAACTTGCACATGGTGAATCACTAAGCCTTATGTTTCTCTGAAGAAGGAAGCATGACTTCTCAAAATACAGTATTGTTTTTAGAGTGAAAATTGGATTTGTTTCATTACCAATTCGAATCATGTTTGGGGATTCTATACCACCTCAGCCTTACCAGCTTTAAAATGCAAATGTACCCCACGAGGAACAAATGTCTTTTCAATTATTAAAATTGAACTTCCAGATTTGCAATGGTTTCTTATGATGAAAATGTTTGACTGTATCTGAGAACTATTTCTTAAATTCTAATAATTAAAAAGGACAAAAGCGGAGACTTGAAGGCAATAACAAGAGCAAAAACTGAGTTACAAAAATTAAATGCGCTTAATTTCCATAAGTGTTCTAAGACACTGTGTTAAAAAACATTAGGGTAGGAAAAGACTGATTCATGGGAAAGAGTCAAACTGTTTCTGCATGCATGAGCATGTACACACAGACACACACTCACACAGAATGAGAGGGAGAGAGAGAGAGAAAGAGAGAGAGAGAGAGAGAGAGAGAGAGAGAGAGAGAGAGGACAGAGAGACCGAGAGAGACAGAGACAGAGACACCACTCTTGAGTCACTCTGCCATGCAATCTGTGAGAACTGGGCTCATCTTAGCACTTGAAATTGGAGGCAGGATGGTGATGCTACTTTTGCTTTTGAACTCGAAGAATATATTTAGAAGCCAGGGTGATGATTAAGTGTTCTTGGTGTTCTGTGAAATGGATATAATGATATTGAAATGTTTACTGAATTTCTATTCTGTTTTTTTCTGCCCCCATACTGTTCTGAGGTTGTGAGGGAATCAAAAGAACGAGAAAGTCTGGTGTTTTGGCCTTCATAAAGTTTATCAGTGATGTGGTAAAAGGTGCAGAGCATACGGACAGATACATAGTTCGAGGAATTGACAAAAACTGGAGGCTGTTAATGTTTCTAGAGGTCAACATGTGATGCCTTATGAAGAAGAGAAGTTTAATTGGATCTGGAGGGAAATGCAAGATTTGGCATCATTTTCTTCTTGAGTTTAATGATAGTCAGTCATTTTGATTAATAATACTGATTATCTGTTTCTTGGCTCATGGATTAGAGGATGCAAATTCATGGCAAACCTACAGGGTAACTGTGTTTTATAGATCTCTTTTAAGAGAGAGAAGAGAGAGAGAGAGAGAGAGAGAGAGAGAGAGAGAGAGAGAGCCTTTCTAAGAGCCTAGGCTTGGGGAAAAATGTAGGAGGTGTAGAAGAGAATTAATGGGTAATACTTATCATTTTGTACAAAATAACCTTGACACAAATGGGGCAATTTAAAGGAGGGTAAGTGACTCCCAGCCCACTCACTCAGGTTGATGGAGGAAATAATCATGGGGTTGCTGGCAGGTTGAAGAAAGAAGACCCAGGGTAGCTTTCTCTCCTCCATTATGGGTATTTCTAAGCTAGAGGTAGGAAGCTTATAGCTGAAGGAACATTTTAGAAAACCAGCCCTTCTTGCTTTCCAGTCATTTCAGTATGTAACTTGATCTAAGGCAATTAGATGGGTCTGTTTTCCCTCCTTTCTGATGTGAGTTACACCACTGACATCCGAGAGATCAAAGGAATCACACTGGTTTGAGAACCCAGAATAATAGTAATATATACATATACATACATCATACATACATACATACATACATACATACATACATACATACATACGTATTGAAGCAATGCTTTCAGTGGGAATTCAGGGTCAGGGAAGGAGCCTGTGGTTTAAACCCTGAGTATTTATAGGTTCACCAGGAGTAGGGAAGTAGGCTTAAAAACTACCCAAGCCCAGACCTTCTCCTTTCCATCCTTGCCAAGAGATATAGTTGGTCTGAGGAGTTTCCTCAGTATTGGATCCTCTGAAGCATCCCCAGTTATTCTAATCTTCAGCAAATTTGAGAAGCACTGTTCTAAGGACACATTTAAATTAATTATACCTGGGTAGCTTCTCAAGCCACAGACCACTGGATATCATTCCCAAGAACTTAATCATCAGATCTGGCATGGAACCCAGGAATTTCTATTTTGAATACATCCTCACGTCCTTAGGAACTGTTGCTGGTCTGGGGAATCGCAGCCTGAGAAACATTGATTTTTTAACTGTGGAAGTCAGACTAGTCCAGGTTGTGCCAAAGCAAAATTTCCTAATGCTTGGACCTGAACATGTTCAACTGAGCATTCTGAGTGCCCACTCAAGTTGAGTGCCCAGAGTGTGACTTTTCAATGTGTATCCCAGCTTCTTTTCTATTGAGCTTGATTATTTTTGATTCTTTTGTATCTGGCTCCAAATAGTATTCTCATATAAACTGAACATGTGACCATATGAAGGGTTTTGTGTCATTATAGTTGAAAGTTAGGGAATCAGCTTTGATCTAGAGCTTATGGTTGAATACCAAGATCATGGGATTATGTAGTGGTAGCAGTTCTAGTTGCATGTGAGACATTTAAGAAATGTTCAAAAGTAGTCTTTATACAGTCAGCATAAGTGGGTAATTGTGCACAGTAGAGGTCATACAAAGGTTAGATAGCAGAGGCAAGACATCAGAAGGTTAATAAAGCTGCAGAAGAAAAGTGTATACAAGAATCCCATGATTATTTATTTATTTATTTATTTATTTATTTATTTATTTATTTTTGGCTTTTCGAGACAGGGTTTCTCTGTGTAGCTTTGGAGCCTATCCTGGCACTCGCTCTGGAGACCAGGCTGGCCTCAAACTTACAGAGATCTGCTTGCCTCTGCCTCCGGAGTGCTGGGATTAAAGGCGAGCACCACCAATGCCCGGCTCCCATGATAATTTAATAATGAATATGGGATTAATAGAAATTAAATGCTGTTCACCAAATCTTCAGGTTCATAGTCGTTATAGTAAGTTTTTGTCTACTTGACACAAACCTAGACACACCTGGGAAGAGGGAATCTCATCTGAGGAATTGACTCCATCAGATTGGCCTATGAAGATGTCTGTGGGACATTTTCATATTTGCTAATTGATGGAGGATAGCCCAGTCCACTGTGAGTAGCACCACCCCTGGGTAAGTGGACCTGGGCTGCCTCAGAAGGCTAGCTAAGCAAGCCAGGGAGAACAAGGCAAGAAAGTAGGGTTCCTCAATGTTTCCTGTTCCAAGCTCCTGCCTCAGTTTCAACCTTGGCTTCAGTTAATCGACTGTATCCTCTAGTCAAACAAACCCTTCCCTACCAATTGTTTTTGGTCATGGTATTTTATCACAGAAATAGAGGGAAAAGTAGAAAAAATTCATTGTAAGAGAGGCAGGTTTGGGTGTAAAATTATGCATTTTGCTAGTTGGTGAGGATCTCTGTTGGGAAAAATACATAAAATGAAGTTTAACTGAATCTCAATGAGGCTGACCATCCTATCCAGTTAATCCAACTGTTATACAGTTCTGCTAAGATTTTTCTCCTTTGTGTTTCCCTTTTCCCCTTTCACTTGTTAAAATACCAGCGATCACTGGAGAATCTCCTAGTCAGAGGGAAGGAATGACCTGCTACAGGAGTATTTGGGTATATATAGCCATGGAGTTTTCTGTGGTTCACTTCGGCACTGTCATGAAAGTCCACTTTACTCACAGAGCTCAGGGCAGCTTTAAGCGTCCACATGGATAGCTCTGATCCATTTTGAATTGCAGAGAGAGAGAGAGAAGAGCTCTTCATTCTTCACTCTTCATCTACTCTGGTGTTGCCAAGTCAGATTTGGACCAAAAAAGCAGTGGTAGGCACACATAGTTTGCTTGTCACCCCCTGTTGAAGGGTAGGAACAAGAGGTCTTAAGACAATAGGAGCTTTTGTTAAAATGAGTGTGCAGGCACACACACACACAGAAGACAACACCAAAAGAAAGCACAGCAAGTGGCCCAGAGTCATCCGGTTTGAAGACCGAAGAGAAAAGTGAGTGAAATGCTAGAGATGGATTAGTTGAGGGAAATAGAATCATGAAGAGAAATGCCTAGAAATGTTCAAGGTGTTCTGTCTTCACAGCAGGAATACTGGAGAATTTCTTATTGTGAGCAGTTGAGGCATGCTCAGTCCAGGTGTTTGCTATGCAGTAGTTTTCCTCTTAAAGCCTAAAGAACCATTTGGCCTTTTGCTTATCTCAGCTCTGAACTTGAGACTCTGACTTTCCTACCTCATCACTCCTTCAAGAATATGTCCCTTGAACTTCCTGTTCTGGCGAAAATCTCTCTCCCATATTTCTGCAGCAAAGCCTGTACTACAAGGGCAAGGGCTGTCACCTATTTGAATCAGATAAACCAGCACTTTTTTTTTTTTTTTACTTTTTTTCAACCTACCCCCACCCCATCCACCCACCACTCCCCAGGCAGGGTAGGGCCCTCAACAGGGCCTCTGCAAAGTCCACCAAATCTTCCTGGGCTGGGCCTGGCCCTTCCCCAGGTGTCCAGGGCCAGAGTGTATCCCTTCACGTGGGATGGGCTCTCAAAGTCCCTTCTTACACCAGGGAAAAATACTAATCCACTACCAGAGGCTCCCTGGAGTGCAGAGGCCTCCTTATTGACATCCATGTTCAGGGGCCTGGATCAGTCTTGTACTGGCCTCCCAGACAGCATCTGGGGTCGATGTGCTCTCCCTTGTTGAGACCAACTGTTCCTGTGGGTTTCTCCAACCTGGTACAGACCCCTTCGATCTTCATTACTCCCTCTCTTCAACTAAATTCCAGATTTCAGCTCAGTGTATGTCTGTGGATGTCTGTCTCTGCTTCCATCAGCCACTGGATGAGGGCTCTAGGATGGCATAAAGAATAGTCATCAATCTCATTTTAGGGGAAGGGCTAAACCAGCACTTTCTTATGTCAAGGATTCTACCAAAAGTTAAGTACTATGTGCCTATGAGAACCAAACACATTTTTTTAAAAAATCCCAATAAAATGCTTTGAATTTTGACTGAGGAACTATTATGTTTTCAATAAATATAAAACCTTAGATGTATTTGTATCAGTGAGCTATCATGTCTTCCCCTCAGTGCCAAACCCAAGTAGCCTTTACAATCTTCTTACTTGATAGTGTTCCTATTTCATGGAGGAGGAAACTTGGGATGTGCATTTAGGATACATAAATCATCTAAATTTTATTTATTTATTTATAATTATTTATACTTACTTGCTATCTTAGTTAGGGTTTCTATTGCTGTGAAGAGGCACCATGACCATGTCAACTCTTAGTTGGAGTGGCTAGCTTACAGTTCAGAGGTTTACTCCATTATCATCACTGTGGGGAGCACAGTGGTGTGCAGGCAGACATGGTGCTGGCTACATCTTGATCAGAAGGCAACAGGAAATGGTTTCCATGCCACACTGAGGGAAGCTTGAGCAAAAGAAACCTCAAAACCTGCCCCCACAGTGACACATGTCTTCCAACAAGGCCATACCTACTTCAACAAAGCCACACCTCTTAATAGTGCCAATCCCTATAAGCTTATGGGGGCCAATTACATCCAAACTATCACACTTGCTATTCATTCCATTTGCTTCATGGAGGCAGATAATGATATTTGCTAATGCTTAGCTCTCCTATATACCCAGGGCTATGACTGTCTCAAAACAGAGGTTTGATAAATATTGTCAAACTAGATCATACTTTGTTGCAGACATTAAAGGGGAAAATACAAGAGCTGAGCCTGGACCTTGTACATTCTCTCCAGATGTCATAATTTAAGTCTGGACATAGCAGTCCATATTGCAAGCATTCAAGAAATATGTGATATTGGGTTGGCTGCAGGACTAACTCAGACCGCATTCTCTAATCCTTGAACTAGGTGCCTCAATGAAGATTTTATGCTTAGCTGACTTGGTTATATTTTTAGATTTTATTTTGAGAATAGCAAAGATAATACAACTGCAAACATAGAGACTTTTTGGATTTGTTACCACAAGTCATCTTGAGATTATTTTAATGATGTTTCCCAACCTTCCTAAAGAAACAAGTATCAGAGTGACAGGCTTGACAGTTGTTAGTAATGTCCCTTCACTCCTTTTATTGTCATTTCTCATGCTTTGAGTGTTTTACTAGTCAATCTGGATTGTTGTCTTAATTTAGATGTCACCTTATTCTTTTGAGGGAAGTCTTTGTCATTCTTTGATGTACTTTGTTCCTAGGCTCCAGCCTCCAACCGTAGCCACTTAGAGCCCTTTGCATTTGCTGATTAACTTTAATCACTTTCTGTTAATCTGCTAAGCCCTGTTCCCTAATTGTGACTGCATATGACACTTCCAGTTGTCTTTGGAGGTGTGAATACCCACTAAAGTGAACTATAAATATATAATAAATATAGAAATATGTTATATATAAAAATAACTATAAACAATAAGATGGTAAATGGGTTTTTTTGGTTTTATTTATTTATTTATTTATTTATTTATTTATTTATTTATTTATTGAGACAGGGTTTCTCTGTGGTTTTGGAGGCTGTCCTGGAACTAGCTCTTGTAGACCAGGCTGGACTTGAACTCACAGAGATCCACCTGCCTCTGCCTCCCTAGTGCTGGGATTAGAGGCATGTGCCACAACCGCCCAGCTCTTAAATAATAAGATGACTGTTGCTACTTTAGTACACTAAATGAACCTGCAAGGGCCTCAATTGCTTGTCCTTGTGATTCTGAAACTGCAGCAGGAAGGTTTACATTTACAGCTCACCTGCGTCTTAACCTTTTGGCCAGGAGTTGACAAATCTCCTCTGTATTTTGTGTTTCTTGAAGTCAGTTCCAACAGCTGGGATTTCCATCCCATAGAGGACATAGCAACTATGGGAAGAATACTCTGGATTTTTCTGCCCTCTTCATGGTATTAATATGTGTGTGCATGGGTGTAGAGGTTGAAGGACAACCCTGCACATCGTCCTCAGGAATGCTGTCTATATATGTTGTGACAGGATCTCTCATTGGCCTGGAACTCATCAGTTAAACTAAACTTGGTGGTCAGTAAGCCTCAAGGACCTGCCTATCTCTGTCTCTCCAGCTCTGATGTTTTATGTGGGTTTGGGGACTCAAACACAGTTCCTGAACTTGCAAGCCAAGCATTTTACCGATTGAGGCATTCCCCCGCCTGTACTATTGTGTTTTGGTATTTAAACTGTGATATCTGTTATCTTAGAACTTGGCTTTCAGTTATAGTTGTTAAAAAAATCAAACAAGGAATTTAATTCATACAAAAGGAGATTCTGTTCCATCCTCCCTAGAGGCCATTTGAAGTATTGTTCCACTTCTCAAAAAAAGACCCTCTGGGCAGAATCAGAACTCAAAATGGTCTATGAGCCTCTCCTGAGAATTTCCAGGTGTGAAGGGAGGGTGTGGTACTCACCTCCATCACTAATAAAACTCTATGTAATTCCGGAACTGTTGAAAGAGATTCTCCAGCTCACATAACTCAGCAATTTTATTTTCTAGCATTGGGGATGGAACCCAGAGCCTTACACATGGAAGGTAACACTATACATGGATGTAACAATTTCCTTCCTTACACGAGGAAACTGGAGCTCACAGAAATATAGCTTCCCATAGACACAGACTAAGTGGGGGTGGGGTTAGCCCCGTGAATTCCATTAGCTAACTGATATTAGACTGCTGGGTGCATTTTCCAGTGAGAGCCCCTTTTGAAGGAGAGGCTGCATCATTCTTTAATATGAACTGAGACACATTTGTTTTGGATATCACTAGGCATAATTATGAATCTAGGTATAATGGCAAGAGTGCAGGGTGTTGAAGCAACTATTGCCCCTGAGGCACTGGGGCTACAGAATTTAATAGTAGACAATGATAAATAATACAGTTGGGGAGTCACATAATTCAATTACACAGTGGATGACAGGAAAATACACAGAAGGAAGCATTTCTAGTGGACACACTTAGGAGTTCCCAGTTTTTGTTTTGTTCTGTTTTTTGCTTTTGTAATCCCCTTGACCCTATTATTTTTCAAGGGAGGCAAGGCATCTTGGAGCATCCAGCTGGGGCTTGGAGGAACTTGGATACTCAGCAACTGAGCCATACAGTGTGAACTGGGCACCATAGGCATTTGTTGTTAACTAATTTTCATGTACATGTGATTTTTCTTCTTGTCATATTGGTTTCTTTTAGCAGGAAGAGAAGGACCTAGGTATATCCAAGGCTTATCATCCTTTCCCAACATGCCTGTTTATAAGCCACTGTACGGGAGGGAGTGGCATTGGAACATGGAACTCGAAGATGGGAGGGGGTTGTGAGTAGGGCTGTGGGTGAGGGTCATAACAGGAGATGAAAGATGCAGCCACCGTTATGGTTCATCAAGCATCCTCATCTGCAGTAGAGAAAGCCAGCTGCTGGCCAGTGCTAAACCTGTATTCTTTCTCCAAGAGAATGGGATATTTCACCACCATTCTTTTAAAATGAGATGAAAAGCAAGGGGTGGGGAAATTAATTAATGTCAGCAAATGAAGCATGGGATGCATGTCTGGATATGATAATGACTGTGAATTAGTGTAGAAGAAATGGAATGTTGTAGAAAATGAGCCATGCCAGCCTGCTGCTTTGGGGTGGACTCAGCTACCCCACAATGCATTAACTATTTATTCTCTTGCCTCATTCTTTGTCCTACATCTCTGTTAGTCTGGGTTAATGCTCTTCCACTGCTGAGTATTAGAGCCGAAGAATCATAGCCTAGGGTTCCTCAAAGGAGCCAAGTTCCCAGATGACAGGACTTTGAGGTGAGAGTATACTTCTAGAAGATGAATAATAAAGCTTCAAATCTACTTACTATGTTAATGAAACCACACCAAAAAGAATCAATTGTGAGCATCCGAACCCATGATTCAAGGAGGCAGAAAACAAGCTGGAAGAAAAAGGAAGATGTCATTTCCTCAAATAAATTGCTCCTTCCCTCAAATCCAAGGATTACCTTTAGACTTTCAATAACTCATCCAGCTTCATTCTCTGCTCTTCAACATGTTCCCCATGTTGTGCTTTTAAAGCATCATTGCATGATTCCAACAGCACATTCACAGACTATTTCCTGCATAGCAGGTACTATAGAATGGACATAGATGAATCTTGAAGACTCCATTTTGTAGCTTTGCTCTTCAAGGCCATGGTTTGGTACCCAGCATGTCATAAGCATAACTAACTGTGGCCACTGTGAGCATTGTTTCATAATTTATACTAAATATTTCATTATGGGACAAGGCTCTCAAGAGGTTCAGAGAGCCCTTGGAAACTTAATGTTTCTTTGTATTATTTTCCCCTTTTCTTTCTTTCTTATACCATAAAGTTGGCCCATTAGAGGAAGAAATGCCAAAACATACTTGTAATAACCTTTTAATGTTAACATCTAAGATACCATTTGCTGCTAACATAAAACTTCATTGCAATATGGTCACAAAGTATGATTCACCAAATTTAGAATTGATATTAATTCACACTACAGTATAGCCAGGTGACTTAGTGGTAGAACTCCAGGTGAGAGGTTTGTGGGTCTCTTAAATCATTTGAAGTTTTGATCAGAAGTGGATCTGTCTGCAGACTTATGTGGAACCAATGTCAAAAGTTTATGGTGTTTGGAATTTTTTTTTTTTTTTGTGTGTGTGTGTGTGTGTGTGTGTCTCCCCATGAGTGCACAAACATGCTCATGTATGCAGACACACATGCACCTGTGTATACTTGCTTATGAAGACCAAAGGTCAACTTTAGGTGTCTTTTCTTGGGTGCTATTTATTTATTTATTTATTTATTTATTTATTTTTGAGAAAAAGACCTCTCATTGGTCTAGAACCCACTGAGCTGGCTAAGCTGGCTGGCCTTCCAGTGAACCTCATGTCTCTGCCTGTCAAGAACTAGGATTAGAAGCATGCACCTCCATGGCCAGCTTCTTTAGGTGGGGTCTGGGCACTGCACTAGGTGCTTATGCTTGTGTAGTATCTACTTTGTGGATTATCTGCTCATTCCATGTCTGAGATTTTCCTTGATACACTGAAACAACAATAGGATGGGATGGCTAGATGAAACCATGTCAGTAGTATTGTTGAAGGTGGACAATGGGCTTATGGTTGCCCCCAATATCACTGTATGACCACTGATATTTTGAATGTACTCTGTACTCTGGGTTTAAGTGGGTTCTAGGGAGTCAAACTCAGGTTCTTATAATGCATTGAAAACATTACCCACTGAGCCATCTCCCTAGTCTTCAACATTGCTTTTTAGAGAAGGAGATTGGAGGATTAATTGGAAATAACCTTTTGTTTTCTAAGAGTCTGTGAGCCCCCTTTAGGAGGCTGGTTTGTGGCTGGGGTATGTGTACACTTTGTTTTTTCTTTTCATTAATCTGTTGATATTTGGGCTATAGAGACAGTTACTCCTGGGGATAATCTTGAACAAGAGAAGAGGGCCCATTTATGGGACTAGATTTGTTGAGCCTTGTGATAACCCCTCTTTCTTCTCTTGACATTGTGGATGAGATGCTACTTGTCTTTCTGATGAGAGAATTTGCTCATGGTACAAAAGAGAAAAAAGATTATAAGGTAAAATTCTAAAATCCACTCTTCCTTGTTAACTTGGTACAGATAGATTTTTTCCATGTATCTTTGGACATCTATCTGTGAGCTTTTGTGGTCTTTTCTATGAGAAGATGATGTCAGATCACAGGGTTTCATCATGGACTTGCATAAAATAAGGTCACACAAGTCAGTGAGACTTTGCTTATGGGATATTCTGATTCTGTTGCGTTGACCAAATGGGTGAAGGATGTGTGTAGGTAGTAGATCTTGAAGTTGCAGGAAAAGTGATTCTAAATCAGGATGGAACCAATACAAATTTATAGGCTTTCCAGATATGACTGAGAGCAGGCTGAAGACTGGATTTCTCCATTTGGTTGAGTCTCGATGATCTTCTATTTCTAGTTACTGCCATGGTCTGTGTAACTTTCTGAATATACCCAACACTGCCTGGCTTTAGATTTGTGGTGTGAACTCTCCCCATCATTAAAATATTCAAATTTCTGTTGCTCTGGTTTCTTAAAAGACATTTTCCCCATGTAAAATCTGCATGGTATTTTTGGAGCCTGATTTGAAATCACTTCCAATTGCACTTTGAAGAATTCCTTTTAGTACTCATGGACTTGTCACTGTAGGTTTGGGGGTAGGTCAGTGCAGGCTTCATGGATGCTCAGGACACAGGCTATTCTTGACAGTATGTATTTACTTCTGGGCTGGGTTAATTCAAGAAAAACAAGAAACCTATTCATTTGGTAGATATATCTGTTTAACAAATTTTAAAGGGAGAACTGGAAGTAAGATGAGGGAGTCAACAGTTGAATGAAAGTTGTCACGTTTGGTAGAGGAAAGGGAAATATATAAAGAAGATGGGAAAGAATAAAAGTGAGGAGGAGAAAGAGAGGGCACAATGGGATAACAGGAATAAAGGTGAGAGGAAGGTGATGATGATGATGAGAATACAATGACAGGGGAGTGAAGTGCAGGACAAGGAAGGGAGGACTGGGTTGAGGAAAGAGGATAGAAACAAAGGAAGGAGTTGGGAAGAGAGAGAAGCAGGTATAATCAGCACATGGCATGGGCTGCAAAGAAGCTCTGAATTTGACCTTCTCTTGGAAGATTCAGTTTCATAAGAAGGAACAAGTGGCTGAAGTGACTGGATAAGAGAGATAAAATTGAGATGGCAAACAAATAGTGGCCCTGAAAAGAGAAGGCTTGGATGTTGAGGTTTGGTGCAGAGAGCTGAGACATCCAGTATAATGAGCACAAATATGTACACAGGCCAAAAGCATCTCTCTAGGAGCTGTGATGACAGGAGCCTAGTGTGTGCCACTGGTTACTGTGAATGAGAAACCATGACTGTGAATGTGAACTCACCCACTCTCTAGGCAATCTGGTTTATGAACTCAAAGCTCTTGTTTGCTGCCAGGCCATCCATCCCCTCTCTCCTTCTCTGAGATGTTCTCGATGTGAAATCCAGCACTGTCACCCTTGCCAACGTTTTTGGCACTGAGATTTAACTTCCTCTAGAATCTGAGATGGGAACAGATTGGTAAATGTGAGTATGTGCATTAGGGAGTTATGTGAAAGTATTATTCACTTTTGGGGACAAATCCATAGGATGTTTTTGTATTTTCCATGGGCCTGATCATTTTCTTTCAGAAAGAGCTGCCCACAATTCCAATATGCTCAGGCCACAGGAGCATAGTGTGGCTTCATCCCTTATCAGAAGGGAATGTATTTTCCTCCTCTTCCAACGGTAAACAAATTATGTTGGTGGACAAATGTGGACTTAGCTGAAAAGAGCTATGAGACAATGAGATTTGCAAAGCATAAGAAAATGGGTGACAGGATTAGGCTGAGCTGGAAGGGGGTCACGTGGGGTTGGGGGTTAAAAGAATAAATCTAGAGTGATAAGTCCATCTATGTCTATCATGTGGGAGGAGGTGAGATATAAAAGCAGTTTCTAAAATGCCACATAACTTTCTGTTTAATGGCATGGGGGAATGTCAAAAATCTCCAGATAAGCCTGTTTGATTATTAGACAACTTGTCTGGCTTAGCTGAGCCTCATATGTGTTAAGTTATCTAGTGTAACTCTAGTATAGAGTAAGCCTGCCACGAGTGTTAGATTGTTGTTATTATTTGAAGGATTTGGACTTGATGCAGATATTTTTCTAAAAGTTATAAATAATTATGGTTTTGTAAAATTTGTAATTTTATAGATATCATTTCCATAATAACCAGTCTTAGAAGCAACTAAGTTTTTTACCATTAGATAATGGTCCACTGGGACCAAGGATAGGAAGCCTGTAACACTTATGTATGCAAAGGGGATACCTTAAAGAAGAGTCTCACATATGCACAGGGCCACAGTAACATAATAACAACAGCATGTTTCATGGCTTTTTAGAGATTTCAAAAAATTTTTTCCATCTGATTTCCTTTTCAAAGCCAGTCATTGCTGGCTTAGAGCGCTTGGTCCCCACCCTCCAGAGCTGGAATTACAGTAGGAATGCATTCCTACTTCTGGCCATTTTTGCAATTATAATACAAAGAGAGTCCTGAGGCAGACAGGTGAGTGAACTTGCCCTAGATCACACAGCTATACTTTTTACATGCTGGTCTTTGTTTTCTGTCCATAGTCAATCCATAGTAATTGTAGACTGCCCTTTTGTCCTCTTTGAGACCTGCTCTCCTGGGCTTGCCTAATTCTGCAAGCCATTTGACTTATTCGGGGAAGAGTTATACTGCCAGTTCTCCTTGGATTTCCTCCTTTGGGCCTGGTAGGGGGAATCACAAGGAGGAAAGGATGCTTTCAAGCTGGGCCCCCTAGAAAGTGTTAGGATGGCATGTGTTGGTCCACTGGCCCCAGCTGCCAGATGATGGGAACTGGGATCAGCTGTGACCTAATTATGAGTCTGGTAAACCTGCATTGTGTCCTTCATTTTCCAGCTCATTGACCACCCAGAGGGGGGAAATGGATGAGATTCTGGTCAAGTCCTTCCTGCCACTACCATGTGGCCAAGGTCACAGGCCAATGATATTCAAAGGGAGTTTTGGGGAGGTCTTTGTTGTCCTCTCTGAATGGAGTGGGCTCCCAACAAGGCAGGAGAAAAGGAGAATTAGCAGATACCCTTACAGAAGCTCATTGGGATTGGAATGCCATCTCACATCCATTGTAGATCGGGAATTTCTGATTTGGCATTCTGTGATTATTCAAATTAATATGAGCTGCTCTCAGTAATTACATGTATGCAAATGCATATGCATGAAACTACCCATTTTGGGGATATATACCATGTATTTAATGACTCTTTGTTGTCAAAGAATGAGTTGAAATTGTGCTAAGAATGCAGTTTTGTACTGACTGAGAGCCCAACTCCACATTCCCAAACCAAACACATCATCTCTGCATTAGATCGATAAGTGCTATTGACACTGCTTTTTTCCTATTGAAAGCTAGAACCCACAACCACCAAGTGGTGTCTATGCACTTTAGAGTTGAAACCATGTCTGAAAGTTACCTTCTTACTATTTTTTCTTAAGTCTTACTGGGGAAGCCCTATAGCCAGCTTGGAACCTGATACTCAGACCCAGAGATGCATAGACTTAGCTTCTGCCCTGGACAAACTTTTGCTCAAGTAACCTAACTCTATTAGCTTCTGTTTTCTTATGAAACAAAATTGGGGATAAACAATAATAACATGTTAAGATTATTCTATAGTTAAGATTAAATGAGATATCATATATGATATACATTACAGGCTTGTTACACAGAACAGATTATGAAAAGAAAGATTCCAAGTTATCCAAGACATAGTATATGAAAGAGGTCATAATCTCTGGAGTTTGGGAATTTTTTCCCTACTGGACTGTCAAGGTTTTTGATAAAAGAACTACTCTTGATTAATGTCATTTCATAAAACAATTCAGCAAATAAGCTTACCTCGGAGGGATATATGACAATTAAATATTAAATAACATAGTTCCTTCCATAAGTGTTTTGAAAGGACTAGGTACTATTTTTAGGTATGTTAGTTTTAGCATTTGTATAGTGTAAAATTAATAAGAGTCAAGTTCAAATTCCATAACATGAAATAAAAAATGACCTCTCATACACACAGAGATATCACTTCTACCACCTCCAACTGTATATAGCAGCTTACCAACACACAAACTATTCCAGCAAGAGCTTCAAGACTTAAAAACCAAGCTGAGTGGATGAACACAGATGAGGTTAAGACCTCTAACATGGCACTTATATTTGTCATCCATTGTTGGCTTATACATAGATCTAAGATCTCTGTAATCAGCAATAAGAGGGAACATTTACAATATCATCTAATTGATTCAATAATATATTAATGCACATGCATGACTGTACCATGCATAAAGACCCTATGAGCACACCCATTGCAATGGATACACTTTAAACCCGCTGATTACATGTCCATGCACATCTTTTGTCAGTTCCACAATTTATATAACTCTTTAGAGGGAATTACCCTCTTAGATGATGCTTCCAGAGCCAGAGGCTGAGCCCAAAGTGAGCAGAGACTGTTCAAATGATGGACATGCTCTTCCTTGCATGCCGTGCGTCTTGTGTCCCAATCCTGCCTCCAGCCACTCGAAAGTTTATAGGTTATTTTCAGACAAGAATAACTTAGCAGCAAGGAGAATGGCAAACATATTTCATCTTCGGATCACTCTTTTGGGGGAGGTGATGTTATTCAACATACTCATCTTTATATAGAGGATCATATCTGAGAACGGGAGAGATTTGGCACTTAGAGGTAAAATGACTTTCAGTGATGTAGTAAAATGTAATTTAAAACTCCAAGATGTACTAACCTCATTCATTACAAATTGAGAGGGAATTGATATAAACAAAAATTAACCCCTCCCCCCCAAAAATCAGTAACACAATAACCTTGCTGAATATCTGAATTTTCTATCTCAGAATTTAAGGCCAATGTCAGCACAGACAGACCAAAAACAGGTGTTAAGATAACTTTTCAATCCATGAAACCGCCCTTTCTTAGACAAGAGATGCCTATAGAGCAAGCAGAGAGATGCTGATGCCTTTTCTGTATGCTTTTCTAAGGGATGGAGCTCAACATTTTTGTCCCTTAGAGATTGCTATTTTGAAAAGACTGTTGCCAGGAGAGCTACTTAACACAGACATGGAAAATTAGTTCCCAACTACAGCAGCATTTCTTTCTATTAGATTATACTTTCTGAGATATGGTTGTTGTTAATAGTTAATACCACCTTTTTCCAGAGGTGTTTCTATGTGACCAATACCTGGTACACCTTATATAGCGACATGTGAGGGAGTTTTGAATTTAATTGGAAGATAAGGTCAGAGATCAAAATGCTTATGTTCTAATTATAAGGGAATCCATATCTAGTCTACTTGGGTTCTTGGTAAAGGGGCTTAGATCACAATGGCTTCAAAGAACCTTCATAGAGTTGTTTTATTTTCCTAATGTTTTTTAACACTTAGTGTCTGAGTCTTTATCATTGAGGTTTCAGAGATGAAGAGTTTGGCTGTAATTTGAAGTAATTGAGTTGCAGAGAGAGACGCATTGGAACAGGTGGCCCCAGCCATGGAGAGTATTTGCAGCCCTGCAAGCTAGCTAACCTCTATATGATTTACATATAATTCTTTCCAACCCACTACAACATGTGGGTCCAGTCAGGAGAGGCAGACAGAGCTATCTCGAGGTTACTTACAGCATGTATTTATTATGAAGTGCATGAATAAATCACCACTAAACGCAGCAAATGCAGTTCTATTAAAACTTAACAGAGACTCTGGTGTTTCTTGTCCCTGTCCATTCTCTCTTTACTGAAACCACATTCTGGAAAACAACCTAATAGCTTGAGATGTCTCTGTGGGCAAGGTGTACTTTACTAATTCCTTAACATAACCAGACTGGCCTCTTTGTAGAGGGCCTGGTTCTGAGTAAATCATACAGAAGAGAATGAAGGATGGATTGATCCATTGGTTGTGGAAGCATTGGCCCAATAAGATAATCTTTAGAAGCTCAGAATCTTTTCTGAAGCCTGGCGTGTCCTGAAAAATGAATTCTTACTCTTTCCCCTTGCAGTCACTCTATATTTTGTTAAATAGTGTGGACCCATGTGTTTGTGTCTGTTGTGTACATGTATATTAATGCATGTGTTATGTTCTGGATACACAACAGATTGTCATTTCCTAATTAAAATTTAGGAAGCAAAAAATGAAAAAGAAATCTGTTAAATGGTAGTAAATATTGTATCAAAAGAAGATATAGAGCAGAGTTGGGGGATGGAGTCCTAAGTTAAGGAGCATGTCACATTTGATCCAAAGATGAGAGCATCATGTAGATACTTGTGAAGATATTCCAGTATATTCAGAAGGGAACATATAAGGATGAAAATTACCTACTGGGAACCAGAGGGCAGAGGGCCCTTTGGACTATGGAAGGGCTTTTAGGTTTCTTCTGAAGTAAATGGTAAACTTTGTGAGTTGGCTTCAATTTTAAG